CAAAAGGTCATTGCTTCGCAATCTAAATCACAAGTTCAAAATACTTCTATATGGAAAGAATGTATGAATCACTTTTTTCAAGATATATTAGAATATGATTTACCATCTTTTTCTTCTAATGCATGAATAAAATTATATATACAGTTGACCCTCTCAGAATCGGTATGCATGGTGGACAGGTTTTGTATCAGTTTTGAGAGGCTATCGGATTTGAAAACATAACAAACTACAGTATATATTATTGGTTAATCTGCGATCATTTGATGTCCGACTTAATTAACAAGTATTTGACTGTCAAATTTTTGTTTGATTGTGCCGAGCATTAACGTATACTAAACAAATTTTACTTAACAATATTTTAATATTTAGATGTTAATTTATACAGTATATATATACTGTATTATAAATACGTAGTAATCAGAATTTATCGTTATTACTACAGATATTAAAATATTTTAATACGTATGCAAATTTACTTGTTAAATAACTTAAAAAAAAATTGATGATATTATAACTATATATATATATATTATTATAACAGTATTTTGCATGCACATATGATCAGTATAACTAAAAATATGAGGTATTAGACTTTAATCTCGTAATAACGATAATGATAACGATAATAATAGGACCTTTGAGTTTTTATTTAATAATAAAAAAAAATTAATAATTAGTTATTAATATTAATAATTAATAATTTCAATTATTGTTAAAAATTTCTGTCACAAAAAGTTATAATGAAATCAAAATTTAAAAGTCCGAATTTCTGGAAAATTAAAACAGCGACAAGAACTATTCCAAAATATAGATACAGGGTTTACCGACATTTACCTGACAACCATTCCCAGACAACTATTTTCCCGACAATTATTTTCCCGACAATTATTTCCCGACATAACCATTTTCCCGACAACTATCTCCTCGATGACCATTTTCCCGACGTGACCATTTCCCCAACGTGACCTGATTGTTTCATGTCGGTAAAATGGGTAAACCCCGTATGCACGTATGTTCTTACATTTTAAATTAAAAACTTCAAAAAATCTACTTTAACACGCATCTAATTAATGAGATTCTAACTTTTAAACTCTAATAATAAGTTCTTGAACCTTATAACAAGAACAAGCATTCTTTGTTGCCAGTTTTTACTATTTTAGCCAAAATACAGTACGTAATAGATTAGACAATGAATCTACAAGAACATCTTTGCTTAAAATGTTTAAAAGAAACTCTCAATCTGTATACGTAGTTAGAAAATTATCGAGGAATTATTAATACTATTAAACTAGATTTGTAAAAAAAGAAAATTTACATAGTTATGGAAAAATTGACGCTGCTAAAGATTACTAAATATTTTTATGATACTGTATTTAAATTTATTAATACATATTGATCACAATATATTTCGCATTTAAAATCTTAGATAGATCCCAAGTTCACAATGAAACTTGAAAGAATCTCGATAGCATACCTGAAAAACCTTTAGATAAATCGGTTAACTTTTAAGATTATGACTTCTCTTTTCTTTTTTGGACAAAGCCAAAATAGAAGTTTTCAATTTTTTCTTAGAAATATCTTTTTTTTTTTTATAGGAAATGCTTCCTAATTTTATTATTAGCATTTCTGATAATACCCACCGTTTTTGAAGCGAAATAACTAATAAAGTAAATATATTTCTTTAACATTTCACATGAACAAGTTCAAATAAATCATTAGTAACTCAACATTTCCTGTAAAGCTGCTTTCTGCGCGTTTTTTTTCTGCTGGTTGATAAAAAACAAACGGAAAATAACCATTATATTCTCTAAAGACATTTATTAGTTCTTCTGAAGTCTAGTGGCTGGCAGCAGATTATGCTTACAAAAACTTTTTAGGTCGGATTACTGTTGACAAGACTGCCCGTTACTCTTGTAACTCTTATTCTGATAAGAGTTTTTTGATCAGAAAATAAACAAGCTGTACTGTATAAAATATTGATTCAAAATGCAGTCCTTCAGGCCTTTAATATTCTAGTATGATACGATTAGATCGTTTGCATCATATTGTAAAAATTTTATATTATATATTTTTGAAATGCTTGACAGTATTGTAGTTTTTTTTTATAAATCAGGAATATTAAATATTTTATTTATGAATCACATAAAAATAATCATTACAATAAAAAATTTTATATTATGTATAGAATTTAGCAATACGGTATATCTCAAAAAAAAAAAACATGATAAAATGTAAACCGATTATGGGATGTATGATAACCAATGTCGAACTTTATGAGGGCCAGTCCAAGTTCCTTTCAAAAGTCTAGTCCAATAAATTTCTGGGATAATCTATATAAATGTATTACGTGAGAAAAAAACGAACAATAATTTTCAGAATATCAGAAATAAATAAAATTACTTACTTCTTTTGTGAGATAAAACATTGATTTTCGTTCAATTCCTTGATCGAAAGGAAAAGTTTCCATTGGTTTCAAAGTATAACCACTAAACTCCGCTAAAATCAATTTATCTCTTCCAACAAGTAGAGGGCAACTAGCATATCCATCATATTTTGCCGCAACAGTTGGATTAAAGTTTCCATTAATCACATCTAATAAATTCTTTTTTAACACACCAGACTGAGAAGTAATTGCAGCAGCAGTTTTCGAAGTTGGAGCAGAGGAAGAATCACCAAGTGAAAAAATGTTTGGATATTTCACATGTTGTAAAGTATATTGATCAACATCTACCCATCCGGCAGCATTACCAATTTTTGATTCAGCGATAAATGAAGGAGGACCCATTGGTGGAACTACATGTAATAAATCATAGTTGAAAATTTTGGATTCACCGCTTTTTAGGTCTTTGAATATTGCTTCATTTTTATCACTATGTATTTCAGTTAGCTCAGTTTGAAGATTAACTTGAATATCACGTTCTTTAGCGATACGATTTAAACCATTGGCATATTTTTCTACACTAAATATTTTTCCCATTGCAGTGTTATAAATAACTTTAGTTCTATTTCGTACAAAATTTTTTGTAAATTGATCTTCAGCAAGGTAGCATATTTTAATGGCAGCGCCGGGGCACTAATAAATATTAATTAACTTTCTAATAAATAAAAAATTCTAAAATATTGAAAATAAGTAATGAAAACTATATAGATAAATTACGAACCTTAATTGGGGTACTAGGCATCGTGAAAATTGCATTTCCACCCTTGAAATTCTTAATTATATCCCATGTCGACTTAACAGTATCTGCCGAGTAAATACTGGTAACGTTACTGTTGGGCTTGGTAAGACTTTCTTGAAGACCTTTAACCTTATTCCAATTCAATTGAATACCAGTAGCTACAACTAAATATTCATATTTCACCTATATAAATATGAAACATAATATAAACATAATATAAACATATTGTAAACATATTGTAAACATAATGTAAGCATAATGTAAAAATTATTAATTAATAATTTTAATAATAAAATAAAATTTATAATTTACCTGTTGGCCATCTTGTAATATGACAGTATTATTTTCAGGGTCAACTTTTGCAGCTTTATTTTTAATCAAATCAGCATTTTTAGGAAATACTTCTTCAATAGGCTTGGCGGATTCTTCGAATTTTTTTAATCCAGCTCCAACAAATGTCCATAGGGGTTGATACTATTCATAAAAAACCATATTAACTAAATTTAATCATAGAAATAATCATCGTAAAATTTATATTATGACATACATAATGAACATTGGAAGGTTCAATAACGGCTACAGCACTTTTACCAAGTACGTCAGATAGGGTTGATGATACTTAGTCGATTTAAATATATATATATATATATATATATATATATATAAGTTGTTATTATAATTTTTAATCAATTATCAGACAATATATTACAAATATTACTTCTTACCAGCTAAACCGCCAGTTCCACCACCTAAATATCGTTAAAAGCAAAAAAGTTGAGTAAATATTAAAAAATTAAGTATGTTTACTAATAGTAATTTTTTTAATTAACACAGAATTCGTACCAATTACAACAACTTTGTAAGAAGGTATGGAATTTTTAATCGAAGCAAGCCTTTTAAACAAGAAATTGCCTTGCTTTGAGAGATTTGTAAAATACTTTTGTGCAGAAGTCATTGTAATGAAAAATTTTTTTTTTAATGATTGATTCTAATTAAAAGATTGAATTTATAGCAAAAACGAATGCATTGAATAAATTTCTTTATTCGTTTCATTTTTATGGTAAATCATGGACGATCATTTAAACGATTATTTGATAACGATAATCACTGCTTTACTTATTTGTCCGGTAATACGATATCTAAGAAGTAACCAATCAAGGAATATTTTTACATACAATAATTTTCCTTAACATTCTAACCTAAATTCCTTTTATCTCCACGTAAATTGATTTTTTTAGTAGGTATAATGGAATACAAATAGTAAATCCTTGGTAATCACAAGTCTTTTTGATTAAATATAAAGTAGATAATAGCAGTAATTGGATTCATTTATCTGATTTGTAAGCAGCTCATCGGTATAGGTGCATAAATTGGGAAAAGTAAAACTTTAAAGTTTGGAATTAAAAATCTTAGCTATTTCACCAAATTTCCAATGTTATGTGATAGCATGTGACGCCAATCACTTGATTAATTGTGCTCTTTGTGAATTTTTACTTGCAAGTAATATTGATCGTAAGGATATTTTATTATTTTTTTGAATCTTTGACACTGAGGGGTTTCAGAATTAAAATGCGGAAATCTGACTTTGATAAAAAATAGATGATGTATTAATTTATTTCATTTTCTGAAAAAATTTGAATTAATAATCTTTGTCAATAAAAATTTTATTACTAATTTCGTGAAATGGAGTCTCCAAACACTCTTCATTTCCGATTTTAAAGTTTTGAACAAATAAATTTTTTATTATTTTATTTATTTTTGAAGTATCGGTATACCATTTTTTTTTTTAATTCTAAAACTCCTCATTTATGAAAATTCTTTAAAGTCTTTTTATAATTTATTTATTGTTTCTCAATTTTAAAATCTACCCAACTAAAGATATTGGGAAATTTACAAATAAGGGCCTAATTTTAAAAATATTACATATAAGGGCCCAAATCTATTGATGGTTGGAAAAAACGGGTCACGTTAGCAAAATCGCGATTATAGGATTATCGATTGTTTTATTATAGACATTTAGAGTTATTATCTTTATACTGATTATTAGATAAAAGGATAAAATGATGTGTTAGTTACAGTAATTTTTGCTTAAATATTGTATAAAAATAGCGTTAAACTAGCACAATTATTCATAAGGCATAGTTTCAACAGAGTAGCTACAAAAAAAATGTCAAAATAAGAAACTACAACCTCAAGTAATTTATTATTTATTGTGAATTAATGATCCATTTTTACATTTACTCAATTCTTCGGAACTATCAGTCAAATCCTCAGATGTGTCTTCTTCTGAAAATGAATCTTCTAATTCTTCATTTGTTAACTCTTGATCACTCAATATTCCTTCCATACTCTGATTGTGCTCTTTATCGGATGTATAATTAATGCAAATTTCCTCGATTATTTTGTGAATCTTTGTCTGAATTTTAGAAACCCAATTACTGTCTTGAATAAAGAATCAGAATCAAGGTTATTTATTGAAAGGTTTATTTTGTCAAAAAGATGCCATCGGCAAAGAGGATGCGCATATAGATCTAACTCATAAATATAAGCCATGCTTTCTAAAAAATGAAGATATAATATAAAAACCTTGCAAATAGCATAAAAAATGTACATTAATACTAACCAAAAAAGTGAATTGTAAAAATGGAAAAACCATCACTAGAATAATTTTCTCTTATATAGTTGTAAGCATCTTTTGAAAATAAAATCAATTTTTTGTAATCATCTTCCTCATGTTTGATAGAAGCGATTGTAGATTCAAAAGGACCAGAAGATACTTCTACAAAAAATACTTCTATATTATGATTCTCTAAACCAAGATATCCTTTTAAATCTGGTTTTTTATTCAGGCCATTCCTTGAATTATGATTTTGTGTGCTTTCACTGGAGCTATAATCTCTTAAATATATATTTAGAATAAAAATAGATTTGAGAAAATTACTGAAAAACACAAATTCACTTACCACTCTACCACAAATTCATTTATATCATGGAAAATCAGTCTTTTTATATCATTAACAATATCATGTTTTCATGTCGATTCCATGATACACTTGTTTTTATTCTTGTAAAGAAAATTTTGATTGATAGCCAATCTATATTAAAAAATAAGATTAAATATGGAAGAACTAAAGCAATATAATTCATTTACAGCCTCAAAATCCAAGAGATATTTTTCTTCAAGATTAGTGGGGTATGGTGGTGTAACTTTTGTTACAAGTCTTTGTCATATAAAATTTTTTAAATCCTGAATTATTTTTTTATCCCATAATAATTTATATTGTTGTATTTTAGAAACTGAGTCCCAAAGACCCACCTCAACAAGGGCTTTTTTAATTTGTTTAGGAAGCCTCTTTTTGGTGGTGTTAATTATTCCTGAAAACAAAATATCATCTTCACTTATGTCTTTTAGGGTAGGAGGCACGATAAAATTTTGGGGCATGCCTCTAAGCAAAGGCATGCCCCTCTTATCGTGCTCCAGGACATGCCTTCTAATATATAAATTACTAAAATTTTTTTTATATCCTATATATGCATACCCTCAGAACTATAATAAAAAAAAACTAAATGTATATTAAAGTTAAAATTTATAACAATTAATTTTTTAGAACCATAAGGGTTGTACACTTAGAAAAATTTTTCATATATTATGCACTTAGAAAGTGTACACTTAAGGATGCAACTATATAAAAATCATCTACTATTTCTAATATCAACCAATCATATTTGTGATAATCCTTGCTATAATCACATAATAGAGGCATGCCTCCTAGACATGCCTCTAGGGCATGCCCAGAGACCCTATACTATCTACCCTAATATTTTTGTATAATACAACTTGTTGACTAATAATATGAACTAGGGATAAGAATGGCAATAGCTATAGCTGGCTATTAGCTGTAGCCAATATTAGCTGGCTAAGCAGCTTAGCTAGCCAGCTAAAATTGTAGCTAATACCAAATTTTAATGTTCTAGTTAATAAAAATAAAAAAACTCATCATTTGGTTAAATTTGCAGATCATTTGGCTAGATCTAGAACAAAATAATTTTAAATCTAATCAAATAATCTGCAGAATTGATTAGGTGATATAGATTAAACAATAGTTATCATTTTTTTTAAAAGATTTTATTATATTGTATAATAGATATCATGATACTTAGTAATTCAAATTACTTTAAATTTTCATAATAGATAAAGACAATATTATTATATAATATATAAAAATTTTAGCTAATTTGGTTTGGTAGCTATCAAGTAATCATTTGTATTCAATAGTCAATTTTTTTTAAAAAATTGACTATTATATATAAGCAATTACTCGAAAACTACTAAACAAAATTAGCTAAAAGTTTTATATATTATAAATGAATATAACCACCATCTATAATAAAAATTTAAGTCTATTTGAATTATTAGTTATCAAGATACATATTGTCATAAACTACAACAAAATTTTAAATTTTCACAATAGAGATAGCAACAGTTAGTTATTTTCAGCTAGCTATTTTGTAGCTGTTAGCTGTATCTTGTATTTCAATAATCCAAAATTAGATAATTTTAGCATTATTTAGTTCATCTCAATAAGACAAATTAAATATACTAAAATCATTCAATTTGGATTACTGGAATATAAGATATATCCAACAGTTACAAAATGGCTAGCTGAAGATAGCAAACTATTGCTATCTCTATTCTGTAAGCAAAATTGAAGTATATATATAGATTTTATAATTTATATTTATAAGTACAACTAACTTTTTATAAATTTTTATAATCTACAAGTTATTTTTTTAATTGGTTGTAGGCCTACAACAAAATTAAAAAACTTATATTTTCTAGCACAATAAATTGATTTATTACTTATTTTTATGTATATAAATTGATTATATTATTAGCCTATATGTTGTTTTTTTTTTTTTTTCAGTGTTAAGGTGACCTCTATGGCCGAGGGCTTTTTATTAGATAATTAACAATATTTACAATTATGATGAGAGTACAACTAGCTACATGTATAACTTTTGGTTGTCTATTTAAGTAGTTCGCCCGAGTTCTACACTAGTCACCATACCTGCAATCTAACTAGGAGATTATTTATTTAAGCTCTCTGGCTTTTTACAAGTAAGAGTATGACTAGCCATACTTGCAACTTTTGGTTGCCTATTTAAGTAG